CGTTGACTTGAACGTGTACCATGGTCCCTCATGGATGGAGCGTTAGATCTGATGGCACGCTGAATCAAGTGGTTGGACGCAAGTGTGCATGGTGGTCACCAGGAAGGATGATGCGTTGGATCTGTTACAAGAAAGTGAAATAAAGAAAATTTTGTTGGGACCTGGGATCGAACCAGGTCCTTATACTCCCCACTAGCGTGCCTCATCATCTGAGCTACCTGCGTTGTTTATTATTAATTCAAGAATAAAACATAATATATAAAAATGTGATTAACTGAACAAAAAGCGCGCGAGATTCAAACGGGCGAATGGTTGGCTGACACATAGCTGTCTTCTTCCTTTCTCCATCGTTTTAGACATATGACTTTTACCTACAGTCACATGTTCGTAGCCATAGCCCCTGCAAATTTCCAAAATGCATAATACGCACGATAAATGATTTCTAACTACATAGATCCATTCCTTTTGATCTCGTGAACCTCGTGGTATCCTTCTTTTTGGCCAATTTCACATGTGTAAGAAAACCCTAAATTGCACACGCAAACCCTAACAATGGCAAAGGCATGTATAGGCTTCAAAAACGCAATTAAATAATGCAGTTAGCTTGCAAACATGATGAGGATCACAAATATATGACTTAAACATGCTAAAGATGCCAGGAATATAGTAATCGATTTTGAAAATATGAGCAAACCGTGTGAATGCTAGGGGGAGATTCTGGACGTGTAGAGGCGTGCAATCGATTAGATTAGCTTCTGGGAAGGTCCAGGAATCGTTTGGCAATGCTAAAAGGGCTTGAATTGGCCTCCAAGCTTGAAACCAAATCAAAACTTTTTGTCAAATTTTGAAGTTTTTGTTCTCCTTGTTCACGTTTTCTAACCCTTATTTTTTGCTTTGTTCTTGTCCAATATATACCTAGGGATGAATTAAGGTTACAAACTTGGACTGAATCTTAAAGTTTGATGAGATTTGATTTTATTCTTTAGCCATATGCAAACTTGCTATTTTCAGCAAAATCTTCCCTTTCTTGTACCAATTATGCTTGATTCGTCTTGGCCTTGATAATTCAGCATATTTTGATTGCCAACCTGTCCAAAAACCAAATCAAATCATATCTTTGCTATTATTCATCAATTATTTGATTTAATTCTATTTTTAATTAATAAAAAATCACAATAAATTGAAAAATAAAGAAAATAATGTGTGGATAAACATTTTAGTCTTGGACCACATTATAAGTGAGGTGCAAGCATAAAAAGTTAGGCCCATTTAGCAAAAAATGCAATTTTGAGCACATTTGACTTTTGGCAATTTTGCAAAAAAAAAGGCCAACTTTGACAAGGCATATCTCTTCCAATTTTAACCCTAGAGATGTGTTCTTGGACTTTTTATAAAGCTTAGGATGTCCCATAAGCAACCCTTTTGGTCTCATCTCAATTAAGTCTTCCATGTTCATGTAAGAAGCTTTGACCCAAAAGGTGTTTTTGTTGACTTTTCAAAAGGACCCATAATGTAAAAATTCATAACTTTTTATGAGTGAATATTTTGAACTTCTGGGATGAAGATGATTTGTAGGTAGTTGCATCCTCTTCAAAATGAGCTTTGGATGGAAATTTTTTGATAATGCATGTGGAAGTTATGCTTGGTCAAAGTTTGGTTAACTTTTACTGAGAAACCCTAATTTAGCAACTTTTGGGTTTTGATGAATTTGGAGAATTCCTTGGGGAATCATGGTCAACCCTTGATCAAAATATGAAAGTCACTTCAAAATGTTAATTTTGACCAAAAATCTTGAAGTTTGACTGTATGTGGGTCACAATTGACTTTTGACCTAATACAGTCGATTCTCCAACATCTGAGCAGTTGAATGAGCAAACTTCTTGTGCAGGGCATGAAACTTGACATGTAAGGTCTTGAGAACATATTAAGACCATGGAGAGAATATGAGGCCTTTGTGGTTCACCCATATTTATGAAAATATAAACCCTAATTTGAGGTACACTACCTTACGAGAGAGTTTGTTTGGTCAACTCTTGGGCAATCTTGAGCAAATTGAGGATCTCTGGGAGAATGTATTGAGTAAAATGAGAGGGGAAATTTTGGGGTACAACACTCACCAACAACTTCCTCCTTTGATATATATAACCACTACCAGGTGAACCTTGAGTTGAGAAGAACTTTTGAGAAAGCCATACTTTTACACTGAAGTGACAGTCTTCAATGCAAGACTTGGCCTTTAGCTTAAGTATCCTGATGTCTGTTATGAAGTTGAGACGTTCTGATTTCACATCACCGACTCAACCAAATTGTTGACTGATAAATTTCTTCATTACATGTTAGAACATTGAAAATAAGGCCATATCCCTTCATAATTTTGAAAAGACTCCTCCAAAAATTTAACCATTATTCAACACATTTTATACTTTGGTGATCTTCAAAGCCACATTATCCTGCACACACAAACATTCTCTTCCTTTTCATCCAGTAGATGAGAAAGGGATACTTACAAACTTCTTCACTTTTAATGCACAAGATTAGAAGAAGTAGTTAGCTCATCATCATAGGATACCACCCTTCTTAGGTCAAGATATAAAAAAGTCTCTTCAGATGAATCTTAAGACATATAGGACAATCTATTCATTCTCCTCAGTACCTAGTAGAATTTCTTCCCAAGAAACACAATATCATAAGATAATTATTCATCAGAGCCCAGATCATAATGCTCTCCCCTTTATCTTACTCCCAGCTGGTGATGACTTGAACTTATATAGGTTGTCACCTTCAAGTCAACTCTCTTGATAAGAGACATGAAAATCTTCCAAACCAGCTTATCTTCTAACAGATATTCTCCCAAAGAGCTGAAAGCATTTGATATAACCAGAGATTTCATAAGAAGTCATGAATTGATTTCATCATCTTTCTTCTTCGAGCAAATAGCTCAACCTACTCTGGCTACAAGAATACTTCTTTCTTTTAGCAATAATACCAGAAGCATAAACTACGAACCACCAGAGTTGTTCTTCCATCAAAGGCATGTGCAGTAGATGACAAATTAAAACAACCTCAACATATTAAGGCAGGATGTCATAGTATCTTGTAGGACATCACATACAACCATCAGTAGTTATCGCATTAACAACACCATTAAAACCATCAGTAGTTGTAACCTTGACACAACTATCAGTAGTTATGACATAAAAACAACCATCAATAGTTGTTTTAGCAGTAACAAAAGATGTAGAAGAGGACACAGAAGTACCAAACAATCATCACTAGTTGTCCATTTAATCCAAGTAAGTTATCATCCTAGCCTTTCAATCGCCAAATAGTACCAAAAAGATACTCCCTGAAGCTCACCCAATGACAGACAGGGTGTCTGCTCTAATACCAATTGAAATTCCGGCACTTACCTAATATGGCAGAACTGATGTTACAAACATCAGAATATGATGTCATGACGAATGTTACAACATCTGCCTACAGACTGAATAGTAATACCAAACTGATACGTTATGCAGAATTATAAACACAGAATGATAGAGAAGATAGTCAATTGTTAACCCAGTTCGGTGCAACTCACCTACATCTGGGAGCTACCAAGTACGGAAGAAAATCTACTATTAGCAGTATTAATTCAAAACTAAACTCTCCCGTTTATAATCTCTCGCTCAATCTCTACCTAATGCAACTTCTACCTAGGCACTTCCTAGATATGAGAATCCACTCACTTCCAATCACCGCAATGATATTAACTCCCAATCACAGGGAAAAACAATCTTAATCCCAGGAACTGTCAGGAAGAACATACTTCCTAATTACAAAGAAAGACATCCCCAACAGGAATTGCCAGGAAGAACATACTTCTAAATTACAAATACTTAGTTAAGACTCTTAACTAAAAATAATACTTGAGTTGCTTAAAAGCTTCCACCAAGAACAACACTCAACTCTTTGCTTAAAAGTTTAGAGGAGAACAATACTCAACTCGTGCCTACGGGCTTTAAGTGAGAACACTATGTCTACCATAAGTATCAAAATATACAAGGGTGACTTACACCACAAGGAACACAAGAGACTCTCAAATCTAAATCCTTAGTTTATAAACTGTTAAGAACTATACGCCCTAGGTCTATGTCTTCCTTTTATAAGCCTTCAGTTGTTCATGGGCTTCAAAATCTCTGCCCAATTATTCCTTAATCTATGCGTTGATTGCTGCTGAGAATATCTTCTTAAATTTTGGAACAAATCTTCAAGTATCCTAAATTAGCTCAACAACCAATTTTAGAATCTTTTAATGTTGTTGGAGATTTGATTCACTTGTTCCAGATGCATCTTCTTGACCTGCGAAAATAACTGAGATATATCCAAAAGGAATCTCAAAAAATCAAATAAAATCTTGTCAAAAAATATCAAACAACATCACTTGCTGCACTAGACCATGATGTCATGACATTGTCTTCGACATTGATTGAAAATCACATAACATCATATCCTGTTATGACAAACCATATTTTGTCAAAATTTAGCCATTCACAAAACTATGTTACTAATATTAAATGTTCGCATTAGTATAATTTACTTGAAGTCATTTTTTAAAACTAATGCTTCTATAAGACGGGCTTCTACAAGCACTAACGTGTCCATATTATTCCAAATTATGTGAAACATATTTAAATAAAGGTGAATTTTTATCATCCGAACTCAAAAAGTTGGATAAGGTTAATCTCAATGTAAAATGCTTTGAAAACCACAAACAATTATACTGTTTATTAAATAATTAAATATATTAAAATTAAATAATATCATATGATTGATTGAAAATAATTACCCAATTTTAAATAATTACCCAATTTTTTGTGATTGGTAGAGAAATTGTCCCCTTAAAATAAATTGTAAGTTAGGGGAACATTAACCTATAATAACTTATTGGCTTAATGCATATATATATATATTAATTTGATTTGATTTAATTATTATAAATTAAACCTAAAGAATTAAAAATGAGATGTATTTTTGCTACAGTTTCTCACAGACACCACAGATTCTTCTGCTTCGCATACCCGTTATCCGTGAAACAGAGGAAAACCACCACGCACCGCCACCCAAACTCCCTTCTCCGACCTCCCGCCGCCCGTGCATTTCTCGGCCCCATTCTTTTAAGAGCGCTGCTCTCCGTGAAAGCTCCTCGTTTAGCACTGCCTTTGCTTCAACGATTAATTGCAACCTTTTGCTTCCGATCTTCGAGGAAGAAGAAGGAGAAGATAGACCGTGAAAGGAGAGAAAAGGGTATTCACGATTAGTTGATTCAACGCATTTCACATAGAAAATAGTTCAAAGTTTCAAACTTTACAAACCTGAGGAATTGTTCAAATTTTGAAAATTCCCCCTTTTCTTATTGATTTTATTCACGCTTTATTGAAGAAAACTAATGCTTAGTTAATGAATGAAAAATTAGGAATAATAATTGCATGATTCATAAAAAGGTGAAATTCCATACTTGCAAGTTTGAAAGAGATTGTGATTGTTCTATATTGTATGCAGTGAGTGTAGTAAAAGAGAATGGCAGTTACATTTGCAGCAAGTTTGTGTTCCATCACAAATTCTAAAACACCTCAAGGGATCAAAAGGTTTGACATTCAAGGTTTGTCCTAAACATTTGAGACTTTTGTTTTCCCTTTGACAGATTATTTTTCTGTTTTATTGACAGTTTTTATGCAATACAACAGATAAACTGCAATCCAGGTCTAGTATTCCGCTGCTTCTTCCGCTCGAAGCTTTGAGCCGCAGGCACCTTTCCATCAGTGTTGGCATTTCATTGGTTGCGATAACATGTTGTTATGGTTTATCACCGTTAACGGTATGGGCTCAAGAGAAGTCAGATGACAAAGAGGAGAATGATAATGGTGTGATTGGGGCTGTCAAATCGTTGTTTGATCCCAATGAGAAGACAAAGTCGGGAAAGGTTTTGCCAAAGGCTTACATAAAGTCGGCAAAAGAAGTGGTGAAAACACTGCGTGAGTCATTAAATGAAGTCCTTGATGATAATGCCAAGTTTAGACGGACTGCAGATGCGGCAAAGGAGTCGATTCGGGAGTATCTTGGTAGTTGGAGGGGAAACCAGACTGTGGCTCAAGAAGTATGTACTTCTTACTGAAAATTCAAGGCTTTGACTAGTTAGCATTTTGTTGTAGACCAGATTTTTCTATTTTGCAAATATATATAATCATGCTTTGGATTGATTCCTTGCAGGAATCATATGCTGCTTTGGTAAAAGCAGTGAGATCTTTGGCAAACTTTTACTCAAGGGCAGGGCCATCAGCCTCATTGCCGGAAGAACTGAAGTCTGAAATATTAGATTATCTTAATACTGCTGAAGATTCTTTGTAGAAAATCTTACAGAATGTATTAATAGAAACCATTATTTCAAACCCTTGAAAAGCAGATAACATGGGAGGAGCAAATTCTTTTGTAAGAAAGAAACTGATCAAAGTTGTGTTTTTTCTATTCTTTTGTCATGTGAAATATATTTACCAAGTTTTGGTTGGTGATTAATACTTTTTGTCTTACCTTAAGATATTTGGTGATATAGTAGAATAGACAACCAGCACTTAATCCACCAACCTCATATGTCACCATACCTTTGCCGCAAATTCATTCTACAAATTATACAAGTTCTCAGATTAGCATTGCTTCTACAAATTATACAAGTTCTCAGATTAGCATTGCCCCATATGAAGAACTTGGATGAGCAAAAGCAGTATTCAGTTTTACTTTGTATGACATTGAATACATTTTATTTTTGGTATTACATTGAATAATTATTTACAAGTTGTAATACGATCGATAATTGATTACTTAAATTTTTTGTCTCCAACGTCTACTTTTTCAAGTCAACCACGTCTATTGTGAGACAAACACTTGTGCTGATGTTTTAACATAACAAAGAAGCCTAAAGTTCCTGATGGCAGGGAAAAGAGCAGCATATGTGTTAGGTACCGACAGTAACAAATAAATTTAAGACAAAAGGATAGAAGCTGATAGAAATTAATGGCTATTATTGTATGATGGTAAGAAGATTTACAGAAGATTCAATGATCTAACTGCCACAGAGCTAGGCTCCTATGGAGTGCTTAACAGCCCCCCATCCAATGATTGCTAAATGAATCTTCTAGTGTACGTCCCCAATTCCCTTACCTCCTCATTTATTGTAACCGTCTAACGATATTCGCTAAAGCCACTACTCTCTCTCTCTCTGCCACCTCATAGCTATCACGTGGTGTGAGATCCTTTTTTCCTTCTAGAATAAACCTGCCAGATCTTAGCACTCCTAGGCCCAATATGATTTGTCATTTATATATCTGGCCCATCTTTCTTCACTTGGTCCCTAACAATACCTCCTTCTAGAAAAGCTACCTTGTCCTCAAGGTTAAATTCAGGAAATTGCTTTGTTATGGTTTCCATGTCTTCCCAAGTAGCCTCGTCCACTGCCCTATTAGTCCACTGAATTAAAACTTATTTAACTCTCTGTTCTCCTAGCCCGTTGAAACGTGTGTCTAAAACTCCTTCAGGCACAAACTGCTCCACACAACTCCCTTCAACTTCTTGGGGCAATTCACTTTCCACTGCATAATCTCCAACTGCCCTTTTTAATAGAGAGACATGAAAAACTGGGTGTACCCGTGATCCCTCGGGTAATTTCAGCTTATACGCAACAACTCCAATCCTCTCCACAATCTGAAACGGGCCATAATATCTAGCTGTCAATTTAGCATTAATCCTAGATACCACGGATTGCTGCCTGTGTGGACGAAGCTTCAAAAACACCCACTCTCCAATATTAAAACTGGACTCTGTCCTCTTCTCATCTGCAAAATACTTCATGCGGTCTTGAGCTCTTTGGAGATGAGCTCTCAACTGCTTGAGTGCTTCATCCCGTTCTTCCAACTCTTTTTGAACTGCAGCCACCCTTGTCTCACCTTGCAAGAGTCTTGTAATAACAGGAGGCTTCCTTCCGTAGACTAACTCAAAAGGTGTACTCCCCGTGGACGCATGAAATGTTGTATTAAACCAAAACTCTGCCCATGGAATCCAAGTCAGCCAGGATTTTGGTTGGTCCGCAATGAAACATCTCAAATAAGTCTCCAAACATCGATTGACAACCTCCGTTTGGCCATCCGTTTCCGGGTGATAGGCTGAACTCATCTTCAAAGTGGTACCTTGCAGCCTGAAAAGTTCAGTCCAAAAATTACTGATGAACAGAGGATCACGGTCACTAACAATGGTTGTAGGTAAACCATGAAGTCGTATAACTTCTTTGGCAAAAATTTCAGCTATTGTTCTAGCAGTATAAGGTCTCTTAAGAGGGATGAAATGACAGTATTTTGACAACCTATCTACTACCACAAACATAGCTTCAAACCCACGGGATTTCGGCAAACTTGTGATAAAATCCATTGAGACCTCTACCCACACTCCTGAGGGAATGGGCAGAGGTTGTAATAAACCCCCAGGTGCGATAGCTAAGTACTTTTGTCGTTGACACACATCACAAGCCTTCACATAGGCTTGCACTCTTGCTTTCATACCTATCCAATATACATTAGCAGCTAAACGTCTGTAGGTGCGATAAAACCCAGAATGCCCACCTTCCGGAGTAATAAGAAATTCAGCCAACATCTTGGGAATCAATGAAGATTGTGCCGATAACACTAAATGATCCTCATAAAATAAAACCTCTTGTTTGTACTTAAATCCTGGTCTTGAATCTGGTTTTTCTTCCAATTCCTCTATGATTTTCAGCAGAACCTTATCCATGTGGATTTCTTCCTGTATCACATTGCCTTCCTCCCAAATTGGATATGAGACCAGAGCTGCTAATTCACCTTCAGGTAATCGGGATAAAGCATCTGCCCCTCTATTCTCCACTCTCGGCTTATATACGATATCAAACTGATAACCGAGCAATTTAGTGGCCCAATTCTGCTGATCCGGTGTCGTAATCTTTTGTTGCCATAATTGCTTCAAACTCTTTTGATTTGTTGTCACAGTGAAATATTTGCCCAACAAATAAGGGCGCCAATGTTGTACCGCTAAAGCTACTGCCATTAGTTCTCTTTCATATGCAGACTTAGCCAAATTCTTTCCTCCTAAAGCCTTGCCAAAAAAAGCAATGGGCTTTCTCTCTTGCATTAATATCGCCCCCAGACCCACTCCGGATGCATCACATTCTATTGTGAACTCCTTTTCAAAATCCGGCAAAGCAAGTACGGGGGCTGTTGTCATCTTCTGCTTTAAAATTTCAAAAGCCTTTTGAGCTTGAGGCCCCCATTTGAACCCCTCCTTCTTTGTCAACTCTGTCAATGGCTTGGCAATCTTCCCATAATCTTTAATAAACTTGCGGTAGTAACCCGTAAGGCCTAGAAATCCTCTCACCCCTTTAACGTTCTTAGGTATAGGCCATTGAATTACACTCTGCACCTTCGAGGGATCCACTGCTACACCACTTCCCGTGATCAAATGACCGAGATACTCAATTGTTTTCTGGCCAAACTGACACTTTTTTTTATTAGCAACCAGTTTATGTCTCCTCAAAATCTGCAACACTTTGGTTACTTCAAAAATATGTGTCTGCCACGATTTACTATAAATGAATATATCGTCAAAAAAAACTAACACAAACTTCCTCAATAAGGGCCTGAACACCTCGTTCATCAAGGATTGGAATGTGGATGGAGCATTCATCAATCCAAACGGCATCACAAGGAATTCATAATGTCCGTCATGAGTACGGAAGGCCGTCTTATGAACATCATCCGGTTTCACCCTCACTTGATGGTACCCGGACTTTAAATCAAGCTTGGTGAAATATTGAGCCCCATGTAACTCATCGAGTAACTCGTCTATCACCGGTATTGGAAACTTGTCTGGTACGGTGGCCTTGTTAAGGGCATGATAATCAACACACATTCGCCATGTCCCGTCCTTCTTCTTTACCAGTATAACGGGACTAGAAAAAGCGTTGCAACTGTGTTGAATAATTCCCATCTCAAGCATCTCCTTAATCTGTTTTTCTATTTCATTTTTCTAGTGGTGTGGGTACCTATATGCTCTGACATTGACTGCACCTTGTCCTGCCATTAAATTGATAGCATGGTCCCTTGAGCGACATGGAGGAAGACCCTTAGGTTCTTGGAACACGTCATCGAAAGATTTCAATACTTCCTGCATAACGGATTGCTCTAACACTACCTCTGCCCGCCCTTCCGTGTTGCTCAATGTTGCATCTAGTGACCATCCTTTC